ATTAACTTTTTTTGGATTTTATTTTTACAATGTAATGATGAATAATGCATCTTCAAACTGGTGTCTCAACCTTACTGCCAACTTTTCTCGTTCAGGAAAAATTGCCACTTATTTCTCAACCAAGTATTCCAAAGTAAAACTTTGCTCAACTTTAACTGGCTGTACTGGAAAAAAATGTACTACGAGAGTTTGGCAAGTAACCTTAAAAGTTGGCGCATTTAATAAGGATTCCAAAATGGTATAACACTTAGAAGATTACTCGTTAACTTATGCACAATTTTTATTTGAAGAAAAACTGATGAAAATTTTTCAAAATTTCCTAATTAAACAGCGATTATGAAAACGCACAAGGACCCTTAAGGATAACTGTTTGCACAACAGTGGGCGTCAAAATGCTGCTGATGATGATTTACCTTTACAGCAAATGCTCAAACTGTTTTCCTTCAGCCGCAATACACGCTCGACATCTTCTTAAAAAAGATCGGGTTATTAAACGAGCGAATCCACGGTTATTAACAAACTCAGCTACATTTTGAATCGGCTTGAAATACACTTTTTCTTTTACAGTTTCCCAGTAAAAAAAATCTAACGGATTCAAATCTGGTGACCAGGCTGGCCACGGTATTGTACCAGACCGCCTTATCCATCTGCCTGGAAAGTTTTGATCGAGATACTCTCTCACTGAGAGTGCATAGTGCGCTGGGCAGCCATCATGCTGAAACCACATGTCCCTGTAAATACTCAGTGGCACGTCCTCCAATAAATTATAAACCTCAGCAGTCAAAGTCTCTGGGAACTCAAACGGACCGATTATTTTACCATTTAAAATTCCTGTCCAATGGTTTATCTTGAAGCGATATTGAGATTTATCTTCTCTCATCAAAAGTGGGTTTGCTACGTGCCACTCGTGTAAGTTATGCAGGTTCATGTACCCATCTTTCTTAAATGTGGTCTCATCAGACCATAAAATTTTTTCAAAGAACCGTGGATCTTCCCTGTGTCTTTATAACATTGTGCGACAAAAAGCAACTCGGGGATCATAATCCCGGAGCAGAAGAGCTTGAACACGCTGTACGTGGTATGGATGGAGCACGTTTTTTGCAAGATTCTATGGGCTGTACTTTTGGGCACACCTGTTTTTAGTTCTATTGCACGCACTGAAGTACTCGGGTCTTCTTCGACAGCTCCTAGCACCACGTCTTCGTAAGGAAGGAAAGATCTTCCCTCACCGTGTGATTGGTTTGGTAGTTGGCCCTCTGAGAACAGTAAGCTTTGCACATTTGTGAACACTCGATGATCTGGATGACGAGCAGCATTCGGGTACCTCTCACAGTAAAGTCTCGCTGCAGCACTAGCGTTGCATCTGCATTCCCCATAAATGAGGTGCATGTTAGCATATTCTTGTACGGTGTACACGGACATAGCGGCACTACACAATCACACTATCAAAGATAGTCTAAGGAAAGCAAATGTTGTTTTGAAGAGCATTTAAACAGTCCAAATCCAAATCACAAGCGATCAACAGTCCAGTTCACGAATCCAAAATTAGTAACAATACGAAATCAACAAACACGAACATGTAAAGATGCGCAGTAAACGAAGGAGTACTGATCGGTATCAAAGTGTGCAATAGCAAGTAAGTGATGTGCTTCATCCATACCACATACAGCATGTTCAACCTCTCCTGCCACGGGATTATGAGCCCCGAGTTGCTTTTTGTCGCACAATGTTAGAAAGACACAGGAAAGATCCACAGTTCTTTGAAAAAATTTTATGGTCGGATGAGACCACATTTAAGAAAGATGGGTACATGAACCTGCATAACTTACACGAGTGGCACGTAGCAAACCCACATTTGATGAGAGAAGATAAATCTCAATATCGCTTCAAGATAAACCACTGGACAGGAATTTTAAATGGTAAAATAATCGGTCCGTTTGAGTTCCCAGAGACTTTGACTGCTGAGGTTTATTTAGGTTTTTTGCAAAATCATTTAGAAAATTTATTGGAGGACGTGGCACTGAGTATTTACAGGGACATGTGGTTTCAGCATGATGGCTGCCCAGCGCACTATGCACTCTCAGTGAGAGAGTATCTCGATCAAAACTTTCCAGGCAGATGGATAGGGCGGTCTGGTACAATACCGTGGCCAGCCCGGTCACCAGATTTGAATCCGTTACATTTTTTTTACTGGGGAACTGTAAAAGAAAAAGTGTATTTCAAGCCGATTCAAAATGTAGCTGAGCTACGGCAAAGACTAATGGAAGCAGCTGAGTTTGTTAATAACTGTGGATTGGCTCGTTTAATACCCCGATCTTTTTTAAGAAGATGTCGAGCGTGTATTGCGGCTGAAGGAAAACAGTTTGAGCATTAGCTTTAAAGGTAAATTATCATCAGCAGCATTTTGACGCCCACTGTTGTGCAAACAGTTATCCTTGTTCGTTTTCATAATCGCTGTTTAATTAGGAAATTTTGAAAAATTTTCATCAGTTTTTTTTAAATAAAAATTGTGCATAAGTTAACGAGCAATCTTCTAAGTGTTATACCATTTTGGAATCGTTATTAAATGCGCCAACTTTTAAGGTTACTTGCCAAACTCTCGTAGTACACTTTTTCCAGTACAGCCAGTTAAAGTTGAGCAAAGTTTTACTTTGGAATACTTGGTTGGGAAATAAGTGGCAATTTTTCCTGAACGAGAGAAGTTGGCAGTAAGGTTGAGACACCAGTTTGTAGATCATTACATTGTAAAAATAAAATCCAAAAAAAGTTAATATTTGTAGTAACAGGAGTTGACAGACTGCCGTAGGGTGTGAAATTTCTATATCTTTTTCAAAGACCTATAATTTTCAAAACACATACATAAATTTTTTTTAAATATTTTTCTGATAGCTGCTATGACTTTGCCTATCACCCGGTTTCGGCTTGACCTCGACTTCTGGGACACCCTGTATGTACAACACGAAAATCCATTTCACTCATTTCCGTCTGTCTATCTATCCGCTAATCCTAGACCCCGCCACAACTTGGAAAGTACCGATCGAATTTTGATGAAATTTTCACATGGGTTACCACTATGCCAAGGATGAAAAGTCTTAGTAATTTTTGAAAAGCGGTCTAGTGGTGGCGGAATTTTGATGAAATTTTCACATGGGTTACCACTATGCCAAGGATGAAAAGTCTTAGTAATTTTTGAAAAGCGGTCTAGTGGTGGCGGAGCTCGGGACGCAAGCACGAGAAAAATAAAAATCGCACAAACTTCGTTTTTTGACGTTTCATGGGGTAGTAAAACTACCTAGTCTACAAAATGACATTTTGACATTTTTTTACGTTTCTTTAGGTTTTTTACATAATACCCGTGATATCTTTTCACTTCCACCACGTGGAAATCTACAGTGTGAATTTTCTACAAAATGTAGTAATAGTTTTTTAATAATTCGATTAATTTATCCCTATTTTAATCCGTTTTGGTTAAAAAAAAGTTTGTAACGCATCATCATTATAATCTTAACAAGTGGTCTCATCCACGTATTTCTGAAAAACCACTTAGCAGCAACCTCAACGACTACGTAAGTAACAAAAGCAAAACTGATCCAACTTGGTTACTAGTTTCAAATTTATTTTTTAGATCATAATCTGTCGAGAGCTCGAGACAACAGTTCACTATGGTATGAATTTTCGATTCCCAATAAACATCCTAGATATACTTTGAAAGGGCTAGTGCAACATGAATGGCGCTGTCTACATGAGCGGTACACACGCATATAGTGCCATCTATGAGGCAGTAACCTTTTCAAAGTCGCATAAATCGCATTAACCTTGCAAGGTTATTCCCCTAAACATCTGTCCCCCTCTCACCGCGCCCCTCTCCTCAAACATCTTGCGTCTAGACAGTTTCCGGTGTCATCCCCTAAAAATAGAGTTTCAAGCATCTAATGTCTAGACCATTGATTCCCAAAGTGGTCTATATCGACCCCTTGGGGTCTATGACAACCTGCAAGGGGTCTAAGTCAGCGAAAAAAATTTGGGGGTCCATGAAATGAATATTGGGATAGTGGATCTCAACACATACACTGATAGTACCTATTTACTTACATCATACGATCTTATAATATCAAAACATATACATTATTTATAAAAGTGCCTATGAAGTAAAAAATTTATTATATATGTTTATAAAATTGTGTAAGTTGTAGGATGTTGGTATTCGCTTTGTGGTCGCAATACATTTTGAACTTGTAAAAACCTGAGAGTCGCTACCTTGCACTGACTTGTTCAATTCGTCACTCTATAAATACGAATGTGGGACAAATACGTTTATTCGTTTCATGAAACTTGAAAAGGAAAGTGCTAAGAAAATATTTTAAAAAATATAAAGAGATAGTATATCACACAAATTATAGTGAGTCAGTGTTATTTTGTTTGAGAGTGCTGGAGAAAAGTAAGTACATTATTTTTTATTAAATTTTAGTTTTGTACTCGTAGATAGCAAAGATAGATAAATTACGCCAATCATGACTTTGGTTATTAGTAGTTAAATATTCAATCATGCAAAATTACACGAGTACTCCTCAATAGTTTTAGCAATCGGTAATATAATTACAATGCAATCTCGGTAATTCGAGCTAATTGTTGCAAGAAGATGTTCGAATTATGGAATGTTTTCGGAAAAATCAAAAAATATTTTTAATATACAGCTGCTGGATTTTCTGTCTTATTTAAATAATTTAATTTTGCCCACAGATGACTGATGCCATGTCCGAATCTAAAAAGAAATGTTCACAGTACAGTGTTGATTATTTGAAATTTGGCTTCATTCCATCATTGCCGGACAAACAATCGCCTATGTGCCTTTTATGCAACAATATGCAACAAAGTTTTGGGCAATGACGCTATGAAACCATCTAAACTGCAAGATCATCTGAGAAGATGCCACCCTGATAAAACAGAGAAAGATTTGAAATACCTAAACACTCAAAGATGAATTTCAGAAGAGACCTACACTGGACAGAATGTTCGCTTCGACGTCACAAAGAAATGATTATGTTTGCGGGCGTCTTACAATATCTCGTTATTTATAGCAAAATCCAGAAAACCGCATACTATCGGAGAGAAGTTAATTTTGCCAGCCGTTGAAGAGGTTTTAGAAACTGTTTTACACAAACCTGCATCTGATATCATTAAAAGAATTCCCTTAAGCAACAATACTGTTGAAAGACGTATTGATGAAATGAGTTCTGATATTGAAAGCTTCTTGTGTAATTATTTTCAAACGACCCATTTCTCTATACAACTGGACGAGTCAACTTTACCTGATAATGCAGCATTATTATTGGCATATGTTCGTTTTATTATGAATCAAGAAATCTACGACTATTCGCAAGAACTTTGATAACCGACACTAAAGGTGAATCAATATTTCATGTTTTAGGGGATTACTTCATTGAAAAAGCAATTCCTTTATCAAATATAATATCAGTAGCTACAGATGGAGCACCTGCCATGGTTGGACGTTATCGTGGATTTATAAGCTATTTAAAACAAAATGTGTCAGGGGTGTTAGCAATACATTGCGTCATCCATCGACAACATTTAGTTGCTAAAAATGTTGAGTGCTGGATTGCATGAATCACTTCATTTAGTAATTGATGCAGTAAATAGAATCTGAAGCGTTGAATACGCGGTTATTTGCGCAGTTGTGTGATGAAAATGACGAACTCTTTCATCAATTACTCCTTCACACTGAAGTACGCTGGCTGTCGAAAGGCTTATGTTTGACAAGATTTTTTGCACTTTTTGAGACTATTTTAGAATTTCTGGATACTAAAGATAAAATTTTAAAAGAAAATTTAATGAAGAGGAAAACAGACATCGCCTACTTAACAGATTTGTTTACAAAATTTAATATGGTTAATTTGCAATTACAAGGCAACAGTTTAAATTTGATTAAAACAAAGTCCATCTTATCAGCGTTTTTTGCCAGAGTTAAACTGATGAAGCAAAATATTGGACGGGGCGAATTTTCTCAGTGCCCCAATTTGTCACAGACAAGCTGCCAGGAAGGCGACGTTTCAACTTATGTTCAACATTTAAATGCCCTCTATTCAGATTTTGAATCTAGGTTTGAGGATATTTTGACTATCGTAATACCACCGTGGATAATTAATCCATATGGCGACATAGAAGAAACGAATGTCATAATACAAGAGGAACTGACTGAACTAAGTACAAACGAAAAACTTAAGGTTCAGTTTAAAAACGGATATCAGCAATTCTGGCTGCAAAACAACATACCCGTTACTTATCCCGTATTATGGAATATAGCGAGGAAATTTTTAATTTCCTTTCCATCGTCATACCTAGTGGAAAGGGGGTTTAGCGCTGTTACCAATCTCCTAACGAAAAAAAGAAACAGACTGGACATCATTAGCCGAGGAGATTTAAGATTAACCCTTACAAAATTGACGCCAAATGTTGATAATTTATTATTAAAGCATCAGGTTCATCCTCCTCACTAAAAATATTGACTTATTGCTTATGTTATTTTATTTATAGTTTATTTTATGTTTATTGGTGTCTGACCAATAAATGCCCGCATTGGGAATAAGTGCCCGCATTGATTTTTTTAAAGAACCCCCCTTTATAGAAAATATTTTTTTTAAATTATTCTGAAAGTTCATGGATAGGTACACACTAAAATTCGTTATTTTTTTGCCTATTTTTAGATAACTTAAACGTATAAGAAGCGGAATTCAATCAAACTAACAGTGAAATTATTGTAGAACATACGTTTATGTTATAATTAATAAACGAACTCGCTTATTGTATTTTAAGTAAAAAACTTTTTTTTATTATTTTTCACTTTTTTTTAATTTTATCCCTCTTATTTTTTTTCAATGCGGGCACTTATTCCCAATGCGGGCACTTATTGGTCAGATACCTGTTTATTTAATGTTACGTATATTTTACATAACAGATACAAAATTTTATTTTGAGTAGTTTTACTTTAAATTCAATTAATAAATGTATAAATTAACATGTGTTTTTACTTTAAGTTTTTAACACTAAACTTCACTACAGTTAGAAATTTACAGAAAATCAATATTAGGTAAGTAGGGGGTCTACCCAACACGAAAAAACATGGCAAGGGGTCCACGACATAAAAAAGTTTGGGGAACTCTGGTCTAGACTGTTTCCGGCTACATTAATCTTGATAGGTCATTCCTCTAAACATCTGGACCATCTCTCTCAGCGCGCTCCACCTGTCATACATTTGTCATCTACACAGTTTCCAATGTCATCTCCAAAAAACTCGATTTCAGACATCTGGTGTCTAGACGGATTCAGGCTACATTGATATTGAAAGGTGATTCCCTAAATATGTGATGTCTAGATCATCAAAAAATTAACTTCTACCAAGTCCACTTTTAGTATGCACTTTGACTGACTACAGACGGCGATGTCAATCTGACCTGACAGCCGATTTCACAGGCGATGAGACCAACGAGAAGGGTGCCTTTTTGAGAGTTGCTCGTGGGTAATGCAGACAAGGGTTTATGTTATGAATGGCATTTTCACTCTACCTGAGCGCTGGGGAAACGCGAGAGGGTCTGAACCGAGGCGAGGGTGGAAGCTTCAGAGCTTTGTAAAACGGGGCTCTCAGGTGTCGACCAGTAGCAAAACATGAAAGGTCGGAAGAGATTCCTGAGCACTTACAAGTTACGATGTACCTGTAAACGACTCGTAAAGCCTTAATCGTGTATATGTATGCTAGTAGTATACTGCATGTAGTAACTATACTAAGTGACATATAAATCCGAACACCCAGTTTAAATGGTTTTATTTTAATAAAAGTTGGTGAATGTATTTATCTTACTGTAAATAACAAGTGAAAAAATTTTCAGCCTTATCAGTTGGACATTCCGGTTTTTATACTGCTTTTTTTTAGTTCACTAATGCTCTAAAAATGAATATTTCAGCCGCAGTAAAGAATCAACGTTGGCGGATTTTGGTTCTTGACATCCTTTACGATCGGTTACGATGCCTAGAGTACGGAGACCTGTACGATTTCGTCAACTTAGTGAGTTTGATAGGGGCCGTATAGTGGGACTTCGGGAAGCTGGACTTTCTTTTCGGGCAATTGCAGTTAGAGTGCAAAGAAGTGTAGACACTGTGGTTAGGTGTTGTCAGGCATGGCTTCGAGAAGACCGTACGCAAAGAGCAAGGGGCACTGGACGCCGCCGTAGAACAGCAGACCGTGAAGATCGCCGCCTAAGATTATTGGCCTTAAGGGACCGTTTCTCCACTACCAGGTCCATTGCAAATGAATGGTTTGCAGAACACGGAAGACCTATTGGCATGCGAAGTGTTTACCGACGAATGAGAAGTTTTGGCTTGTTTTCATACCGGCCACACTGGGTCCTCCCTATAACTCGAGAACACCGACGTAATCGCCTTGAGTGGTGCAGACAATGGTCACTCTGGGATCAGGAATGGTACAGTATTGTCTTTAGTGACGGGTCTCGATTTTGTTCAGGCATGCACGATGGTCGTGCCAGGGTTAGAAGGCGACGTGGTGAAAGGAGGAATCCACAGTTTTTTGTTGAAAGACATGTTCATCACACTGTTGGAGTTATGGTTTGGGGTGCTATAGCTTATGGTTCCAGGTCACCTTTAATCTTCATCAGAGGTAACATGAACGCGCAGCGTTATATCCACGAAGTTCTAGTACCCCATCTTTTACCCTATCTTGACACCCTGATCCAACTTTCCAACAAGATAATGCCCGACCACATGTTGCAAGAGTCACAATAGACTTCTTTCAACATAATGATGTCACATTGTTACCATGGCCACCAAGATTTCCCGACTTATCCCCAATTGAGCACGTGTGGGATATGATGGGTAGGAGATTGCTCAATTTGCAACGTCCTCCTCAGACTCTAGAAGCACTTCGAGAGGAGTTGGTGGTTGCCTGGAATGAGATACCACAGGAGGACATTGACCACCTGATCAGAAGCATGCCTAGGCGCGTTGGAGAATGCGTAGCACATCAGGGTGCATCCACACATTATTAAAGGTCAAAGGGCTTTAAAGCAGTACAATCATTTTGAAATTTTTATCATTTACTTATTACGCTTCATTAAGCACTTATACAAAATTTTATTAAAATAAAACCATTTAAACTGGGTGTTCGGATTTATATGTCACTTAGTATATAATGATGCACACATTAGAAGAATTAAACCTAATTAGACTGGGTCATAGAGGGAAAAAAATACAGAGATGTGGGACATGGTGATTCGTCATTTTGTCGATTCAAAATTGTGTAAGGATATCCTTATTTAATAAGAAGGCACATATGTTATTAAACAAGTAATTGTATCCAGCAGTACGACTAGATTTACATGTTCTTTTCTTATGCACCCGTATTGCATTACTTTGAATTGGTATATACAGGGTGATTCACAGGTCGTGACCAAAACTGAACATCATACACAGGACTACATTTTAAGGGGGTCTTCTGTGTAACATTTGTTCTTTTTCCTTCATTAAAAAGATACAGGGTATTGAGGTTTAAAAATAAAAAAACATTTTTTTTAATATCATTAAAACCGTCAACTGGAATGCACTAAAATTTGGTACGTGTATATACCTAAGTATTGTCCACATTCAACAGTCTTTACTTAAAATGAACGTGCCCCAGTGGCGGAGATACAGGGGATTATTGCAGTGGCGGCTCGTGCCAATTCAGTGAGGTAGTGCCAGAATGGAAGCCATAATTTTGAATCGATTCAAAATTGTAAAGAATAACTTATAACTTACCCCTGATAGTTAGTGGTCAAAGTTCTTGAGGTTCAATAAATCTATATGTCCAAAAAAAAATCAAAAATAAAACTATTTACACACGCGCACCAAATTATAAAACAAGTGTGGAGAAGTACCTATAACTTCAAAGTTTTCTATACATGAAGTCCATTCTTCTTTCTTTTTTGGTAGCAAAGTTTTCGATTACCTTATTATTAAAATTTTCAATGCCACTAACAAAATGTTTTTCTGCAGACAGCATTCCTAAAGCACTAAGCCTTTCTTCCTTCATTGTGTTTCTGAGGAAAGTTTTAATCCGTTTCAGCATTGAAAAAGAGCGTTCTGCTTCAGATGTTGACATCGGTATAGTGATTAAAATACTTAAGAGCTTAAGAGTTTCTTGAAACGTACAATTTAATCCTTCCTCGTTCAATAAAATGGATAGTGGAACAGCTCCAGAAGTAGTACTCAATTCTTCTCTCTGATATAATACTTGTAACTCAGTTTTAAGCCTGTTTTTGTCTAAAAATGAAAATTGTGTGCATGTGTCATTTAAATGTGCTTCAGGAAACTGATGTTTATAAACAGAAAACTTTTCAGACACAAATAAATTAGAAGCAACTAAATGCCCAGAAAAGTTAAATCTTGTTCTTATTTGCGATAATACTGCATCGCATATTTCTAACGCTTCCCGTTTTTTGCTGCCTTCTTCAACTTGCCTTTTTTTTCTTGCCGGTTCATCAGTTTCTCTCTGCACTCGTTCAATCTCGTCAATAATGCTATCCATTTGTTCTCGTATAGTTTGAATTGCTGCTTCAAAATTCTCTAAATCATTTTTGACCTTAACAGAATCGGTGCATACTTTTTGTAATTGGTTAAAGACAATTTCAACATGTGGCATTATTTTATGGAATATACTTAGCCAAAATACAAAATTTGTATCTTGCAGCTTTAATTTGTACCCACTGGCTTGATTAATCGACGAAGAATCGCGTGAAGTACTTTCTATATTGTCCATAACTTCAATCAGGTCTTTCCTATTTTCATAAACTGTATGAACACCTCGTGACTGAAAATTCCAACGTGTTTGGGAAGATCTTGGCAATCTGCGATTAACTATTTCATCCAAAATTTTTGTTCTTTGAAGAGACGTCGAAAAAAAAGAGCACAATCCAGATAAATTATGGAAAAATATTCTAGCCTGCTTATTGACAGAGCATGCGCTTGTCATAATTAGATTTAACTGGTGTGCATAGCAATGAACATAATTTGCAAGTGGATAAGTTTCCTTAATAATCTTTTGAACGCCATTCAATTCACCACTCATAACAGACGCACCATCATAGCTTTGAGCTATTAATTTGTTTGGATTTTGATCTATTAATGGATTTACAACATTTAAAACGCATGCAGCGATTGATTTGGCATCGTGTCCGTCGGGGACGTAAAATCTCCAAAATCTCTCAACTGGTTGTCCTTTACACAAATATCTGAAAATAATAACTAACTGAAATTCACAGGCTACGTCAGTCGTTTCATCGGCAATTACTGCAACAAAAGGAGAATTTGCAATCTCCTTCTTAACTTCTTCATGATAAACATCTAGCATGCACTCAAGAAGCTCGTTTTGAGTTGTTTTTGAGGTACCCTTGAAAAGTTTGGCACTTTGAATATGGACTTTCAATTCGTTGTCTAATTCGGCGCTAAAATTCACCAGCTCCTTAAATATGCCTCTGTTTTCCGAATTTTCCTTTTCATCGTGACCCCTTAAGGCTAACTCAAATGCTCCACAAAACCTTATACAATTAATAATTTTATTCAATACATATCGATTCTTATCCACTTGATTATTATGTTTAATTAGATCATTGCGATAAGCCGAATTGAGTTGAGTCCTTATATTTAATTTACCAAGAATAGAAAAGCTAAAAACATTATTCATATGGACTTTAGATTTTTCGTGGGTCTTCATTTTATCCCATATATGTATAAGATCATCTGTACCTTTTTTTGACCAAGTCTCGTCACCTCCAAATAGAACACATACAAAACAAAATAGTTTATTCGTTTCTTCACAACCACATATCCAGCTGTTTTTATCGTACACATTTTTATTAAATTTGCGACAGCGCGATTTTTGTCCGCTACCACTTTGTTTCTCAATTTTTAAATCGGGTATTGGCCGTCCTAATTCTTTAATTTGCAGTTTTTGATCCAGCGAAAAACCACTAAATGAGTTTTTTAATATCCCGATTTTATTCATTTTCACTAGTTTTAATAAAACAGTAAAAAATATGATCACAAAACAGAGCAGTTCATTAACACTAGACGTACTAAAACAAAAACGTTATTTCTCACTTTTCAGGTAAAAAAAGACCGAAATCAGCACTAGACGTAATCATAACGAAACGACCGACCGAACAAAAACACCGCCGATATCATTTGATAGCGAATTACGACTGATGATGTGCCTGGCACAAATTATACTTGTCTTTCGCTATTCACCTCATATAAAAATGTGTATTGTAGCGTTATCTCTGTCGCTCGTATGCGATGGTGGTAAAATTTCTCTCTTTTTATTTGGGCCGGCCCGACATTGGCACAAGTTGATGACGTCAAGGTCAAGGCATGCTTTATATCTCGTCGCGTGGTTCGGGTGCTTGCGGTGTTGTCACGTTGTCAGTGTTGTCACTTCATATAATTTATACCAAAAAAAAATGAAAAAGCAAAAAATAAAGTAAAACATTGAAGATTGAAAAAAATATTCTTTTTGAAGAAGACAAGGTAGTGCCATGGCACCGTGGCACTACCTCACGAGCCGCCACTGGATTATTGTAACTATTTTTCCAAATAAAAATAATGCCCGAAATTCGGTATTTTTCAAATTTCACTTTCAATTTGCTACAAATATTTACTCTTATGTTTTTCCCATTGTCTTTGTGAAAAAACTAGATAATCAAAGCTTCATTTCAATAAATGTAAAAACACCACCATTCTGACGAATGCAAGTGCGGCATCTGTTTAATAACTTTGTTGTGGCTTTAATTTGATGAAACACATTATCTGTCATTCTAAACAACTGATCAACAGTATTAATTTGTTCAGCATATACTAGTTGTTTAAAAGCGCCCCACAAAAAGAAATCCAGGGGGTTCAAATCAAGAGACCTCGCAGGCCAATGTACGAGTCAGCTTCTGCCAATCCATCGTTGTCTAGAATGATTATTTAACCACGCGGTTATGTCACGACGAACTTGCGGTGGGGTACCGTCGTGACACCAACCCTAAAATCCTAAATGGAAAGGGGGGTCGAGTAATACCTTATTTTAAAGGTCTTTCAATTCCCTTTATCAAAAAACGGCTAAAAAAAAGTTCTAAAAACTGTTGCGTATCTATGATCGTCGGTTTTCTAGATGAATTGGGAGAGTTGATTCTAAATTTGATGTTGATATAGTGCTAAAATTTACGGTTAGCCGGGAAAAATAGTTTCCTGTCAACTTTTCGCTTTTCACATTCAGCGCCCCAAATTACCTCATTGAGCAACGCTTCGTATCCAAGTAGTCACCGATAGTAAAAATGGCTTTTTAGCACCTTAAAGACGCGAAAAACGTTTTGAAATTTTTCGCAAAACAATTAGATCTAAATGATAAACGGGATCAGATACATGTGAAACGACCAGTATTGGCAACCCAAAATACGTGGAATAAAGGTAATTTGAACCGCATTTAAGGTATTTTAACATATAATTACAATGTATTTTTACCAAAAAGGCACAAAATGGTTCAGTCGGGAACGTTAACGCAACATGTCTTATAATACTTTTAATAATGAAACCGAATCCGTGGCCCATTTAGTCCGAAAATGTCGCCACAAAGCCTACAGGTAACTCGCTGCTAGTCTTCTTTTCTCCAGGTCACCAGCAGATCGGTTTGTCACTATGAATTCCCGCATGTATAGTGCTGTCGTCGGCAAAGCTGTGGATTGGATTGGCCGCACAGTCTTGCTATGTTCAGGATTAACATGCTGGGTGGGACCAAATGCTTTATTGTGACTGTTTCAGAATAAACTTCGCCTAAAGAAAAAACAAAATTAACAGAATTAACGCGAGATTCTCTGAACGCGAGCCAGATTTTCAGCAGAAAAAACATTGAATGCCGAAAGTCTCAAGACTGAATCAAAACATTGCCATACTGTAAGGCACCGTTTTACCTATTCAGAGCCGTAAGATTGTTCTTTGTATTCTGAACACCAAGTATGATACATATTTCATG